TATATATATATATATATATATATATATATATATATATATATATCTCATTCAATTTTCTAAGTTAATATTTTGATAATCTGATTCAATACTTGGTTATAAGTCCTTAATTAATTATTTTCTTCAATGATTACATATAGAGTAGTACCACTACAGCACTTCTATGTCCAAACTCTATTCACCCTTAATTAGGTAAATAATTAATTTCTCTGCTTGGAAGAATTTTCAGCGTTGACTCTATGCGGTTTGATATGCAAATTAAATTATTTTGGTCCTTAATATTTTAAATTTATAGATTTAATTTCAGAAATTATATAATATATTTTTTATAAATATAAAAATCTCAATAATTTCTAAAAAAAATATTTTAAAAAATTGATTCATAATCAAACAATGTAATATAATATTCTAAAACATCATATTAATGACTTGTTTATCTTCGTGTTCCTTTCATAAATAAATGATATATAAAAAATCACTAATTCAAATAAATCAACAATATTGATAACTTATTATCCTTAAATATTGTTACACATTGTACGAACAATCTTTTTATATCGAGTGTGTTGTTATGAAATTATATAAATTTAGAAGAAGAAGAAAGTAGGGAGAAGAGAAAAGAATTCTTATTTCTCTTAAAGTATATTCAGGATTCATAGATCTTTCACAAATTTTCTTTACAATGAAGGAAAACTCTTTATTTATAGGGAAAACCTTACTTGGTGCCCAAGTAAAATTCCTAACCATATCCTACAAGGACTCCACATAATTAGATATTCACTATAATACAAATTGTTTAGAACACTCCCTCTTGAATGTCGTTAGATTATGTGCCTCGTTAAAACCTTACCAGATAAATTCTAGTGGAAAAAAAATCTAGTGAAGGAAAAAGAGTACACATATCTAATAATACGCACTATGGATGCCTCATTAAAAACCTTACAAGAAAAACCTAGTGGGACAAAACCTTGCGAGGAAAAAAGAGTACATCGCGTATTAACTCCCCCTAATGACAACATCAATTCAGAGACTAGAATCTTCGTTTAGCAAGATTGTGCACCATCTTCTTGAAAGTTGTAGTTGGTAGAGACATGATGAATAAATCAACTATAATATTACTTGAACAGACCTCTTACATGTTGATATCACCATTCTTGGGAGCTCATTAGTGTAGAAAAATCTTGACGAAATATGATTTCTTCTATATGCTTTTATGAATCTTCACTTCACGATCAAATATTTCTGCAAGTTCCTTACTTTAACTTCTTTAAGCAAATAATCTATTGCCTTTTAAAAACTCTTCAAGAGTTTCAATTCTAGTTATCAACTTGCATAACAATATTTGTATATGCTTCATGCATTTTGAATCGATTTAATCCTTATGAGGATGATAAACAAGTTTTTCAAAAACTTGTATATGCTTTAGATTTTGAACCCATTAGATATTTAATTTTGTCAAGTAACAACATTCAATATTAGATGTATGACATCTTTTCTAGTGCCTAGATTGCAAGTCAAATAAGTTTTACGCTTACCAGGATGCATCATTCCACTTTTCACTTGATAATTATTTCTACACAAGCATGCTTTAGTAGATATAGAATTCATATCCTCAAAATCTTTTATAATATTGCGCGCTATTGTATCAAAGATATTGTCAACGATATACCATTTTGCATTGATTCACAATACGACATAACTTATTGAGATATCATCACTTCATTATTTTTAGGTAGCTACCCCTCTCATAAAGTTTCATAGAGTGTTATGTCGTAGGCTCCCCAGGAGCACATTATCTTCTTATTATGATCATTTTAATCCTTTGATCCTCTTCCTTTTTCAAAGATCATTTTAGTTAGAATTGATTAGTCTATCATGCTTCATGTATGTCATAGACTCTATTGGACATTCAATAGGAGTATTTACAACTTTTGTGTTGCTTCTAATCTTCCCTTTATGTTAGACAAACTAACATATATCTCAATCTTTGGAGAATCTATCCTTGTGCATAAATGTATATTCATTGATTATATACCACATATCAAAATAATCATATGAAAAATATTTGGTCCCCGACCATTAATCAATTGAAAGAAAATTTGATCATAATTTATCGGTCTGATGCGTACAATTACTTTTGTATACAATATTGTATTTCATATCAACATATGAAACTTTATTTTCATAAACAATGATTTTACTATTTGAGATATTTAGTGTCACATCATCTTGAATATTTGTCAATATTATCAAGATAAATTGTCTTGATTACATATTCTGAAATTGTGTTCTTAACTCAATTATTTTTGCACAAACAATTTTGTGAATGTCAAACTACATGTTGACAACAAAAACACATGTAATTATCTTATAGATGCATCTTTTTATCATATCACAAGATAAGTGAACGGACCCATATTCACCTTTTATACTTTTCAGAATTTAGAGATTTAGTCCCAACTTTAGTTGATCCAATCAACTTTATCACGAGAACAAGCAACTAAAGATTCTTGAAGAATCTTCTAGTTTTTCAATGTATGTCCATTACTTAGTATGCACATCTTTGGGATGACCAAATTATTCATGCCAACTAATAAATTTATTAGTACTCGTAAACTCCAAGTTTACTTCGTCATGTGCCTTTTGCTTTAGTAAATTTCTGATTTACTATTATATGAGTGATTTTCAATTTTATTAATCTAAGAGTAATTTTCAGATTTATTTCTTCTCAATTACTTCACCCTTTAGGTGAGTTATGATCCCATCATTGAATGAACTAATCTGAAGAAAATTGTGCATGTAACATATTATTTGTGCCAACATTTTTGCAAACATCAAGTTGCAGATAATAATAGGCACATATGAGACCATATGAAGAAATATTTATTAGGACCATTAAAAATCTAAACAATCCATTAGGTGGAAGACTAGGTCCACAAATATCTGTATACGTTCCTAGAACACAGAGAATTCAAGCTCAACTTTCGTTTATGATGGTCTCACAATTAACTTGCCTTGTTAACAAGCAGTAAAAGAAAATTCACGTCTAGCATGATGCTTATTACCTCATTCCCTTTAAAGAATGGATCTGTATTTTTACCATTTATCAAAGACTCTCATTCTTCATGAATGAAACACAATCATCTAAGGACATCAAATTTTTATAATTTAGTACCTCATTCCATATTCATGTGCATCATTTAATCAATTGTCTTCTTTTAGACATTTATGCACTGCTACATTCTTTTTGAAGAATGGTTCTGCTTCAACGAGATATATTTTATGACTAATTTTATCAAAAGCTCATTATTTCCCTTAGTCATCATTATATCATCAATATGGTTCATTGAGACTCAAACCCAACGTCTTATGCCATAATCAATGAGGGACTTAAACCCAACATCTTTTATCACAAAGCATCAAGACTCCTGATATCTTACCCTCTTGGTGCGATTGGATGTAAATCCATCGTCTTATTCTTTTGGTGCGATATAACTTAAATGCATTGTCTTACCCACAATGAGGCTCAACTTTGAGCCTTTGAAAATAATTGAAATTTTATCACTTTTGATGATCATTAATATGATTAATAGTTACACACAAAACTGAGACTAATGATTTCTTATAATCAACACTAGCAGTTAATAGATATAGTTTAATAGATCACGTACCTCATGCAGAGATTGAAAACATATCTTTCACTAAATTGTGCTTATTTAATTATTAAAATAAATTAAGGAATTCTCTTCCCAGCCGGTTTAATTAAACGTATAGAAAGTCGACAAGTCTCTTTAAATACTTACTTTAGATGGTACCTCCTGATTTGTTACATAAATAATTATAACATAAAGATAAATCATACCTTGAAGATATAAGAACCTTATTGCATAACTTATGCAAGATCTCTTTTGTACTTTTCTCGTCTTCTATAATAATTTTTTAAGAATAGAACAATCTTGTTGATAACGTGTTATGAAACTATATAAATTTAGAAGAAGAAGAAGAAAGTAGGGAGAAGAGAAAAGACTTCTTATTTCTC